GGTTTCGTAAAAAATGTTGAAAAAATAACTATCCCTCCCTTTTAAAAAAAATACAAACAAAACAAAACAAAACAAAAACAAAACAAAGCAAACATAAAACAAGACGAAAAAGAAAAATTAAAAAGATTTAACGAAAAATGAAAATGAAATAAGCAAAACAAGCAAAAAAGAATTAACAACAACATGTTTTATCTCAAAATGATATGGATACAAACAAAATAAAAATACGGAGATGTGGTATGATTGCCAAAGAGACAACTATCCTTCAAAGTTCAAATGAAGTGGATGTAAGCAATCATAGGCAACCGTACGGCCTTCAACAATGAGAAAAAACCATACCGTATGGTCGGCTATAAAAGTTTGTTATTGATTGTCTTCAGTTATTACCATTCAGTATTGATTAAATTTGAAGGAAACATGCAAGTATAATATTTATAATAAGCATTTGATTCAAATTGAATTTGTATCACGGAACACATACTACATGAGACACGTCTTCTTTAAAATATTACACTTATACGGAATTGAACTGATCTTTATTTAAATCGATCTTAAAAAGACCAGTTCGCGTTAACATTTGCACATTTATTTAATCTAGTGCGTTTACACTGCAACATAAACAGAACAGTCCCTTTATAGCTTGCTGTTCGGTGGGAACCAACGCTCCGTGTTGAAGGCCGTACCTTGACCTATAATGGTTTACTTTTATAAATTGTAACTTGGATGGAGAGTTGTCTCATTGGCACTCATACCACATCTTCCTATATCTATGACCTGATTACTTGCCATTTCGTAAACAAATAATCGTAAAAATAGAATTGAATAATAACGAGTGCATTTCGCGGGGACTATCACACACTGCAAAATTATGGAGAAAATAGTTGGATCATTGGAATTTCGTATGCAGTTATCAATTATCTTTTTGGTTCACACGTCACAAGTAATTAAACATAGAAATGCGAGAAGACTATCACTTAAAAACAAACTGTCAATGCCTTTGAAGATGAGAATTTGCAGCAAAGAACTAGAATTTATCGATTCAGAAGAATAATCCAAAAACGGCGGAATCATTTCCCATCCATCGTTTTTAAAACACGTGTGTTTTTGCCGCTGAACATGCGCAGATTTATTTTCATATCTAAATATACCATTCACTTGAAGAAAGATCGATCGCGATCGATCTTAGCGTTTACACTTGAAGAAAGATCGATTCAAATAAGATCGATCTTTTTAAAACCACCTCTGGAGGTGGACTTTTTAAGTCCGATTGAAGATCGATCTTTCCCGTTTACATTAGACTAAGGATCGATCGATCTCAAAAGATCGATCTCAAGAAAGATAGATCTTTTTTACAAGTGTAAACGGGGTCTTAGAAAGTTACATAAATGCTTCCAATCAAAAAACACTAAACCACTCACTAAATCGTTTCCGAAATTGCAAAATTGCTACACTTATTTGAACCAAGCGTATGTCAAAGTGTTGCATGTATATATGTTTAACATCTAACAACATTTATCGAGTTGAAGTAAGATGTTTTACCACGAGACAGTTTATATTAATGTGATTTAGATTTACATGTAACAGCGTTCACTCATAATAATATCATTTTTAAAACTATATATCCCTGAAAATCTTAAAGTTCCTTTCAAATTATATATATTATATATAAATTAAAGAAAGTTGTATTGAATGTAGCTGTTTTTAACCCAGATATAATGTTTCTAAGCTTGAACATTTTGTGACCTGAATTAAGAATATGCATGGCTATACTATCACTTTTTTAAACCAAATTGTTGGCCCAGGTTTTTCGGATGTAAGACCCCTATTGAGGTGGCTGTACTTTAGTTGTTTGGTATATCGGATGCATAAATACGAAGCAACAGTATGTCAACTTTAAATTTGAAGCTTTGTTTGCGGAGAGCATTTATCATTCTGAAAGGTAAATCCACACACATACTTAACAATCCTGCTATAACGTTTGAAGTCTTAATTTCCTGCCCTTCATTCCGCGATCGTCTATTTTTGAAGACCATAAATGAATGAATAATTTGATTTGCTAACTTATTGAGCATATATGAAATGTTTGCCACTGTACATGAAGCCAATTATAATTTTAAACAACATATCGTGTCATCTATAAAGATCAATCTACAGATGAAGACTAGTTTCTTAGCTGGTTTGACTCCTTCATGTGAAATAGGTAACGTTTTCATCCACCACCACACGGATTTATTCAAATAGATATAAGAAGATGTGGTATGAGTGCCAATGAGACAACTCTCCATCCAAGTCAAAATTTAAAAAAGTAAACAATTATAGGTCAAAGTACGGTCTTCAACACGGAGCCTTGGCTCACACCGAACAGTAAGCTATAAAGAGCCCCAAAAATTACTAGTGTAAATACATGCATTGTAATATTTCGATTAAATATTTAAAAAAAAATAACATCTTATTATTCAACAAGTTTTTTGCTTGGAGGTTACAAATCCGAAGTATTCTAGAGTCCAAATCAATACACATTGAAGATTTTACAAATAAATTTACACATATCTAGTTATTAACTCAAAAGGTTATTCAGTGCTATATATTGTTGTAGGGGACAGTTCTAAAACATTATGTATAAACAAAATATTATATAATGATATTCAAAATTTTATCATTGAAAGACATCCTTAAAATAACTAAAATGATTTGTACCTGAAATACAAGAAGGAGCGTTACTTTGGAGTTTAGTGTGGCGTCCATTTCGATGAACAAGTATACATTATTTTTGAGGGGCCAGCTGAAGCCCGCCTCCGGGTGCGAGATTTTCTAACTGTGTTGAAGACCAATTGGTAGTCTTTTGCTTTTTTCTGCTCTTTGGTCGGGTTATTGTCTCTTGGGCCATCCCCGTTTCCATTCTCAATTTTATTGGTTTTGGTAAAGTATGCTATTCTTCTTCATTGTTTTGGTACAAATGTACATATGCATACTTGTAACAATCTACCTAAGTTGCAGCTATGACCCATAATTATGTGATATGTTTTTTTAAGAAATGTCATAATGTTGTGGTTAGACTTTCAAAGTATACACAAGAAGATACCATACTCTAAATATTGATAATGCTGAAAACTCTTTGGAAATTGTCCGGATGTCTAATATATTCACGGAAATTTAGCTCTATTTTTTTTCAATAGAAGATACCAACATAATAATATCTGAACATGGCCATATTAAATTAGATTAATTCATAACATATAATGAAATTGTTCATATTTTAAGTCCATATTTTGAATTGAATGTATGAAAGAGTGCCTGTACATATATATGTTACGTATATACAGGCCTGTGTTATTTTCATCTTCTGTACATACAAGACATGTACAGTAGCATGTCTTCATCCTTGAACCCCAAAGGTGACTGGTGGTATAGAAATATGGTTTTCCTCCGACCACAAGTAAAACCCTTGGCAAAGTGGAGCATCCGTTTGGTTGTGCGGGATGTGTGAATACGCAACCACGTCCGGTTAGCATACTGACGAATTGAGGCTTCGTGTAGAGAGAGTACCACGCTTCATGCACGTAAAGAATTTTTGCAGCAACTCTTTTATGGGTCTGTGGGTAGCCTGATTCAAGGGAGAAAATTCATGCCCTATCCATTATACCCACATTTTCAGCTGGTGACTGTTGAAATTCCCCTCCTTTTCCCCGGTCGATCCCTATTACAGAACCAAGCTATTACATCTATTTATATTTTGTTCTCATCCTGAATTTGTTTCAAATATTTGCCACTGGACATAAACAACAAACTGTCAATAAAATGTTTATCTTGGCTCATGAATGAAAGGAGATGTATAAAGTAACAAGACAGCAACGTAACCACAAAAATAATTAGAAATAAAAATTAAAAACACAAATCCAGGCACGTATCATATTTATTATGCACATAATTTGTTTTTCATATTTACTGCAAATTATAACTCAAAAGAGTCAAAAAGAAAGACACGCATCTTTGCTTCAAGTTATGATTTTGTATGCTTAATTTATTATAACTGTCTGAAAACTGGAAATCTTTAAGGTTGATGTGGAGGGTTTCACATGGAAAGGTAGATTGAAACTAATTTTCTTTGATTTTATCATAAAAAGAATGGTAGAAATAGGTGGGGGGGGTCAGTTCTTACCCTGGACCTTAGACAAACCGACTTGTGCATCCAACAATGGTAGCCTTATTAAACACTTGCTACACTTCTAAAACAAGAAACTGTTATTTGTGTTAATCATATGGTCAAATAGTAAGTACATGAAAATTAAAAATTCAAAACATTTGAAAATTTCGTTTTTTTAATGTTTTGTGCTACAAAATGTAACTAGTACAGTTTCCCGTATTTTCCTGTGCGAAATAAGATTTTCACGTACAATGGTAGCTATGTCAGGAAAAAAATCCAAGTCCAATACCTATGTGTTTCCTTTAAAAATTCAATATCTGATGACCTTCACCTGTCTAAAAACACCTAGCAATTTCATTGGTTGGCAATTTTAAATCAAGTATTAACCTTTTCAAAATCTGATAAGATAGGCATTTTCCATTAAAAGTGTTTAATCAAAGAGAGGTAACTCAAGTTTTTTTTGTTGCTCACATGTAATGAAATGGCACTTTTCTTCTATAGTCTGTTTCTTGAAATTAGTTTCTGAAATTAAGAATATATAAAATCAACTATGAATGGTAGGTTACAATTATAGTAAATAGTTTTGTATACTATAATCAAAAATTTTATCATTTGACAATTACAAGAACTGATTTTTTTTATCTAATTTGGATAGATTAATTAGGTTCACCATAATTTTGTGCAATTTTATTATTCATTGTAATTAAAATTTAAATTTAGAAGTATTAGTAAGTTTTGATAAAACTAGTTTACTTTGAGTAAAATATGTCAAAACATCCTTTTTTTAATGAAGAGCATAAATGTATCAAGTGAACTCTTTTTTTAAATTCATCTATCTTATAAAAACACATTGACCTTCATTATTTTTAGATCTCCACTCTTCAAATCATCTTCAAATTCTTGCAGTGTAAGGTCATATTTTCGTAGTCTTTTATGGAATTTGTGTCCTTTTTTGCTCTTCCAATATGCAACCTGTAATGAATAAAAAGCTAAAATGACAAACAAGGTTTTTCATTATGCGTAAATTATTTCAAGATCTTAAAGACCTGTTTATAGATATATAATCATTAATTTCACCATTGAAGTATACATTGTACCTTATTGTTTAGGGCCAGCTGAAGCCAGCCTCTTGGTGCATGATTTTGTGAATGCGTTGAAAACCACTGGTGGCCTTGTGCTGTTTTCTGATCTTTGATGTCTCTATGACAAATTCCTTGTTTCCATTCTCAATTATTTTTGAAATATTGAATTTTTGTTTTTGCTTGAAACATAATTGAAAATCTTTTAAAATATTACTAGTAGTTCTAAGTGGAACCTATGTAAAAGCATAGTAATTGAAATAAAGAACATTCCATCAGCAACTTCTGTTTGGTCTTTGGTGGAGAGTTGACTGATTGGTAATCATGCACAACTCTCATTTCTATACATATGAGCTACTTTTCAGGGTGTTTCTTCAGTTTAACATTAAAGTTTCTATTTGTTCACTACTAATTAATGTTTAATTTATTATGATATACAACTTAGGCTTGGAAAATAGTAATATTCTCTTGCAATTAGTATAACTAGTGAAGCATCAATTCAAAATTATGTGTTTATCTATTAGGAGTAAGGAAAATAATTATTCATCATGGTAATAAAATGTGTTAAAAAATGACTGCAGTATAAATCATAACCAACCAAATCTGGGGTTTTATGATTTAATTTCCTATTTAATTTTTGGTGAATTCAAATGAAATCACATGTATTGTTATGGTGACAATAAAAATTATTAGGATTATATCCTAATGGCATGTTGAGGGTAAGCATAGTCATTTTAAATCCAACATTATAACTGTTAAATGATTTAGTTTTATGGAATACAATATGAGTGTGAAGACATTAAATAATTTGTGTGGAATATTATTGTGCATAGTACATTGCTGATGAATACATGCGCTTGAGGGTATTCAAGAAGCAGGAAATTACCCTTAATGTCATTGTTGAGCTGTTATAATCTAAAAGTTTTCCATCATACTCCGTTAGTTTGTTGCTTCCTTCATCCCATATATGAAGTATATGTTTGCCTACATAGTTTGTTGGAAGGTTGTCATTTTGCACTTAATGTATGGACATGTCCATAATACATGTGACATTGTTGTTGCTATCGCTTGCAATAGTCATTGGTAAGTCGTTGTCATGGTTATCATTGGCAATTGTCGAAGCATTGGTTTCCATGTCTTCTACATGTTCTTCTATGTTTTCAGAAGAAGATTGTTCCAGCTGTATTAATTTTTTTAAATTTTCTGTAAGCTCAGGAAGGTCAAGAGACTTTTTAAAAAGATGTTTTGAATTGGTATCAACTTTTTGGATTTCTATTTCTTTGCGATATGTTATTTGTGTTTTAATGGCATTTATTTTAAGCTTCTTGGTTTTGCAAGTTGAAATAAAAGAATAAATTTGGTTTAATTTTGTCCATTTTCCGCCTAAATTGTTGATTTCCAAAATAATTTTTTCCTTTTCAGTTTGAATTTGGCTTCCTTTAGTTCCTTTTCTTTTATTCTGGCTTCAATAATTGTTGATTTTTCATTATAAATTTTAATGAAATCTCTGATGTCTCTTTGTCTTTTTTCTTCTCCCAATGTCTGCATTTAACTATGAGAGTATTTTTCTGTTCCTCCGTTTTTTCCTTCAACCAATCTGCAGTGCCATTATTTTTAAACATTAATTTTATTGTGGAAATGCTGGTGTTTGGAGCAATGGTCTTTTGCCGATCTATCTGAGCCATTAGTCTTTCTAAAGTTATGTTGTTGGCTGGACATGATTTTGAAGTTAGGATCATTTCTTCTGACGGGTTTGAATATTTGCCACCATTTAAAAAATCGCCAAAGAGTGTTTTGCTTTTAGTTAATAAATTACTACAAATAAGTTGAGCGGCTTCTAAAACAGTGTCCTGATTACTAGTTTCAGTTTGTTCGAATATTTTATAATCTAAATCCGGTTTATCAAGTAGTTCAACTTCTGTATGACTAGCCTTTCAACATGGTTTTATACCATAATAATGGTGTCCTCTCTTTACTATTGCATCAGTAGTCTTGTGGTAGCCTGTTTGCCAACAGTTTGCCAACAGTGGCTTTGGACTCCAGCAGGGTCAAACCAAAGACTTTAAAATTTGTCTTTGCTGCTTCTTCACTTAGCACGCAACATTAAGGAACAGGGGTAGATCCAGAAATTTTCATAAGGGGGGCCAACTGACAGCCCTAAGAGGGGCCCCAATCCAGTCATGCTTCAGTGATTCCTTATATAATCAACTAAATTTTTAAAACAAAAAGGGGGGTGCCAAGGCCCCACCCTTTTCTGAGGACTGGTTGTCTTACAGTTAGAATACTGTGTCCAGGTAAGGTGACATATCTTCCTGCATACTGTAATCTTGTGAATAAGCACGTAAAAAATCAATAAATCAAGCAATCAGTATTTAATTTCTACTTTGACATCATTGGACATGGGGTTGTCAACTGAAACCAAAGTTTTTTACCTCGAAGTTGACCTTTGACCTAGAACTTTATACATAAATTATGACACACCCTCTGGTGTTGGTGTATATACATGTCAAGTATAAACTTTGACATCATAATGGTTCTCAAGATATAGAGCGGACACGATCTTTACCATAGGACATTGGTTTGTCAACTAAAACCCAAGTTTTTCACCTTGACTTTGACCTAGGAAGTTGTACATACATTATGGCACACCCTCTGGTGTTGGTTAATATACATTAAACTTTGAAATTATAACGGTTCTTTAGATAAAGAGCGGACACAATTTGTTACGGACAGACAGACTGATCACTATAGGGTGTCCGCCATTCGGCGGGGCCCTAATTATATCTCAAAGAAAGTCATACATTGACTTTGTTATAATACAGTTACTTCAGAGTGGAGTTTTATGTTTAAATTCAATTTATGATTTTGAATATCCCTCATAGGTATCTTTTGTATCTATTTAAACTAACAGAGCTTAAATTACCTAATGTATAATCTTGTGTGTCTGTATATAATTTGACACCATAATAATTGCGTCCTCTCTTGGTCGTGGCATCCCGCAGTAAGGTTAAATTGTTACTTTTCGACAAAGTTTCCTTTAAATGTAGTTCAGACAAAATACCGGCTTCTCTTGCCATTGTACTAATTGATGATGGAGCTGGTAAAGTAGTTATGTTCTCTCCAGTAAAAATCCGGACAATTTCTTTAATTAGTGGTGAGGTGTTTTCTCGTGAAACATTGAACTGCAGACAGCTGTAAACAGCTTCCATAACTTGACATGAGTAGGGGCTTCCTCTTCCCTCTTCTTTCAATTTAAATTTAAATGTTGGAGCAAGGTTTTCCTCTTGTTGTTGCAAGGTTTGTGTCTGCCAAAATGATATTTCTTCCCTCAACTTTACACTGTCTGCATTTTATAGATTGCATTGGCTACTCTTTTCCAACACCAATTTTTTCGGTTGACTGTTGGTTTGACAGATTTGGGTTTTCTGTTTCAGTTTTAGAGATTGAGTTGCTGTTGCCGTACCTAGCTTTCTTTTTAAGTTAAGATTCTGTCTTTCTTTCCTTTTGTTTGCCTGTTTAAGTTTTGAAAGGTTTGAGGATGCTATACATAGTTTTCTTTTTACAGTTGTCAGTTGGTAAATTTGTTCTCTAGTCTTGTTTTCTCTAACGGAAAGTGCCTTTAGGGTTGAACTGTTGTGAACGGGTATTGGACAGTTTCTTGTAGAAAAGCCGAAATTCTTGAAATATTTTTGCTGGATTTAATTCTGTTATAATCTCTTAGTAATGATTTTTTCCTGTTTATCAAGCTGGTTAAATTTATATGGTTGGTTGGTGATAATATAGATATCCAGTTATGAAAAATTCTCTGACTTCCAGATTTATAATAAAATTTACTGTTGGTGTAAAGATCAAAAGCTAGTTGATTTGTAAGATTTTCAACCTTGAATGGGAGTGGTAGAAAATGTGCCATAGCTGCAAGATTAGCACATAAAGCAAATCAAAAATTGTACAGACACTATATCACATGAACATAAACATTAACATAAACACAGAACATATATACATGAAAAGCACAAAATACATGTACAAACTGAAACAAATACAGTTTATTTAAACCTGTAAATGACAGTAGATTTGATAAATGCCTAAATATTATTAAAAAAAAATAGATATGACATAAATTCTTCATTATTTTCCTCATGTTTTAAGTCTTATGTAAATTTATATTGAAAAAATGTTTGATGGTTCATATTAAAGGGAGATAAATCATAATTGAGGGAGACAAATCTTAATGCTATTATAAGAAAAACACATGAAACATTTTATTTCTTTCAATTTATTTTGTTGTACATGTATTTTCAAGCAAAAGTTTAACAGTAAAGCTAAAATAAGCACATGCATTACAGTAAAGCAAAAGCACACTGACTTCACAAATAGTGCAAATTGTTAGCATCATATATAATTAGAATTTCAATATACATATGTTGAAGAAATCCCTGCATCATAATTATTTACTTACCTTTGAATAGGTTACTTCACTTCAATTATAAGTGGATTGCTTCTCTGTGCAAATGCTTTTTAACAATATTAGCATGCAGAAAGTGATGGTGAATCCTGCAAAAAAAGTAATAGATAACCATGTGCTGTAATTGGTGAAAGATATGCTTGAAATTATTTTTACCTGTTTTATGATACTTTTGTGCACATATAATGCTCTTCTGCTATTACTTAATACATACATCTAAACATATTTTGTCTATCACATTTAATCAAGACAAAGAAGGCAAATTATGAATGAAAATGGTTTAAAAATATGCAATGAAGCTATTTACAACAGTGAAAAGAGAAAAGTGATAATAAATTATTTGTGTTGTGACACTTATATTTGTATACGAATCACCATTTTTGGAAAACAATTGGTATCTGAACTTTTTTGTATTTTCAAAGGGCAATAACTCTGGAATTTCAAATGGAATATCATCTTGTATAATTATATATACTATATGTAAAATAAAAAATGAACTTAAAAGTAAGAAACCTGTAAAATGCATTTGTGGGGGCATAGAATTTGATTCATAATTTTTATTAAAAAAAATTTGTTCAGAAAAGAGAAAAGATGAATGGTAGTGGTTCCTAAGTTGCCCCATAAAAAACAGAAAATGGAGCAATAGAATAAGGGTATGGGGTTCAGTGCCTAGGATGTTTTCTGCGAAGAATACTTTGTGATAGAGAATCACAATCAGAATCAGTACTTCTGATAATGATTGGTTTGTCTTCCCTCCCACCAGTTAATCTTTGCAGTGAACAACTTGTACTAGGAGAATTATCTTGATTTCCAATTTGCTGTTGACAAATAAAGATTTTTCTTCCAAGCTGCTTTTTCTTAGGCTTTAAAATGCTCACAGATGCAACTGAGCAGCATGTTTCTGAATCCTCATCATTCATCTCCTTTAAAGATTCATTAACATTCTGTGGTTTTCCATCTGTAGCTGATGCACAATGTTCTTTTGACTCATTCTCAGACAGAGAAAATAAGTCAACAGAACCATTTGCCAATGTCATGTCACTATCATCTGAGGAGATGTTTTTAATTTTCATCTTCTGTGGTGATTGTGTCATGAGGGTATCTGTTGATTTATTTTCTAGTGATGAAAATAAGTCATCAGAACCATTGACCCCACTAATGTCTTTACTATTTGAAAATAATTCCTAAATTATTTTCAGATAATACTGACAAAGCTTCAGTTACATCTTCTTTTTTTTCTCAAAAATAAATGGTTGTTTCCTTATTTTTGAGGAATTCAAACAAGACAAACTTGACCCAGAAGAACATACCAAGCTTGCATGTCTTATACAATGATGACAAATACAATTATCACTTTTCTCTGTCCTACTATAATTAAGCTCCTCATGTATACATAATGAAGGTGCTACTATAGCATATTCATTATATAAATACCTGTGAAGCATAGCCTCACGTGCATCAAAAAATAATCTTAAGTTTTTGTTTATTGAATAATGCAGAGGAACTGTAATGTACAATTCTTCATTTCCACCACTCAGTCTTAATTGGTGGCTTATCTTTTCACTGTCATCCAAGTCCGAATCAAATTGAGAGGTCCACATCATCATGCAACAACTGCAAATTAGAATGTTTCTATAGTATATAGTATAGAAATATTTACCTAATCAAACTTCTATCTTTCCTGAATTTCATTCATAACATATTAAGTGCCAATATGCCTAAGAATCAGGCAGTGGTGAAAACATGACAAACAAAAACCCACTCAAGTTGACATTGATTTAAGTTCAGAATGTATAATGATGCATGAATATAACATTCGTTTCCTTTCCCTGTTCTGGTAATTCAAGAAATAATTTGGTAGAAATGCACTAGAAATTAATAACTAAGGGGAGATAACTATGTAATTTGCTCTCATTCTAACAAAAATTTATCTAGATATTTCTCGAATTACCTGACACGCAGAAACAAAAGACCTACCATTTCTAACTCTGGATGAGGGTACCTTCAAAATAAGGTGGTTAGATCGGTGGGTTTTTTTCGGCCATGTTTTGATTTTTTTCAAAATTGCCTGATTCTTACAAAGACTGACACTTAAAAAGGCCTTTGACATGTTTCATTGACTGTTTACTATGGCATTGATATATATATATATATATATATACACCCTTTTTTGTCCATAATTTTAATTGGTAAGTTCAACGAATCTAGTTATATATGAAAATAATTTTGTAATGATTGCAATTTATTTGTTGTTGTTTATTTTACCAAGCTTTATACTGATGTTGTGATATTTTGAATGTTAAACTATGTTGATTATCTCCCCTATTTAAAATGATATTTTTATATTTCTTATATAATGAACTTACCTTCAATAGAAACTTGACTGTTGTAGGATTTAAATGTGTATGAAAAACTGACTGTTCAGTAAAGCGCAAGAAATCACCAATAATAAATGTTGGAACTGAAAATATTAATGTTTTCACTTTAGGATTGGAATAACTATTTAAAATGTGTGTTTTGTTCAAGTGTCAATCTAGATAACATGTTATGAAGGGCACTTTTCAATGGTTGACATTTTACACATGTTTCATTGATTGTTTACTGTCTCATGGATATATAATACATGTACATATTTTTTTTCTCTCCATATTAAAGTTCAACCAATTTATATTTGAAAAAATGATTTTTGTTAGGATTTCAATTCATTTTTTTGTTGTTTATTTTACTCGATTTTATACTATAAAATCACTGATGTGCTATTTTGAATGTTAAAACTATGTTGATTATCTCCCCTATTTAGAGTTTGAACATTTGCATTCAAATAAATTTCACAAATAAATGATATTTTTATATTTCTCATATAATGAAACTTACCTTCAATAGAGACTTGACTGTTGTAGGATTTAAATGTGCATGAAAAACTGACTGTTCATTAAAGCGCAAGAAATCACCAATAATAAATGTTGGAACTGAAAATTTTAATGTTTTCACTTTAAGATTGGAATAACTATTTGAAATGTGTGTTTTGTTCAAGTGTCAATCTAGATAACATGTTATGAAGGGCATTTATCCATGTTTTAATTATTTTACATGTTTCATTGATTGGTAACTGTCTCATTGATTGGTTACTGTCTCATTCATATTCACGTCTCATTCCTGTTTGAATGGTTTTACACTATTCATTTTTGGGGCTCTATATAGGTTACTGTTAGGTGTGAGCAAAGACTCTGTGTTGAAGACCGAAATTTGACCTATGATGGTTTTTCTTTTACAGATTGTGACTTGGATGGAGATTTGTCTCATTGGCACTCATATCACATCTTCTTATATCTATAAATATATATATATATATATATATAAATAAGTCTAAATTGAAAACAATGTTCAAACCTATGATTGCGTTGGATAAAAACCGCAATTTTCATACGTGTGCATGCAAAAAAAATTTCTTGGTAGAGGGGTCTAAATACAGCACAAACAACATTTTCCAAAAGACCAAAAAAGTGAAAAAGTATTTTTAAACAAAACGCATTTTACTTATATATATATATATATATATATATCCCTCTTTGTCCATAATTCGACCAATTTATTTTTGCAGAAAGATATCATTTTATTGTTCTGGTTTATTTTACCCAGCTTAATGCTATAAAAACACTGATGTTGTGCTATTTTTAATGTTAATTATCTCCCCTTTTTTGAGTCCGAACATTTGCATTGAAAATAAATTCACCAGTAAATGATATTTTTATGTTTCCCATATAATGTTTACTTACCTTTATAAGCAAATTGACTGTTTTAGAATCTAAATGGTTGAAAATTATCCAAAACTGACTGTCAAAGTATCATATTATCACTTATAATAAATGTTGGAACTGAAAATATAAATATTTTTACTTTTAGGTTGAAATTATTATTTTAAATGTGTCTTTCCTTTAAATGTTGATTGATATAAAATACTAAAAAAGCACTTTGCCATGGGTTTTTTTTAATACACGTTTCATTGATTAAGTACTATCTCATTGACATATACCTCATATTTTGTTTTCATAATATTAGACAATAGGACTACATAGCTCCTGGGACTATTATACTTGGGACTGCTAGTATGAGGATAGCAATGCCCTTTACTGTGAGGCGTCAAATAGTCACTTTTAGCTACCGCTAGTATCAAATTAGTTAAATTTTTCACCACGATTAGTAAAAATATCCTAATCATGATTCGTCAGAGGTATAAAATAATTATGGTTACTGTTATTTTTGGAAAAAATATATCACGATTTGTAAAAATCGGTCAATTTTTGTTTCGTCTAAAAGAAAGTGTATATTTTATTGTCATACACCATTTATAACAGTATTTGCCATTATTTTTACTGTTATTCGTCATGAAGGTACCCCTATAACGAACCTCTAGTATAATAGTCCCAGATGGCCCCTTACAATGAGATGGATTTCAAGGGGACATTAGGGTGCTCCCCCCTCTTATTTTGAGCACTCCAAATGTCTTTTAAGAGGCACATTGTAACCCTTTCATAATTTATATGACCCACATTAGAACAACTAACAGCCCACCCACCTTTTCAAAAAACCCTTCATTTCCCAAAATATAAGTGATAAAAAAAATTTCAATTGACATAATATTATATTAACTTCAGATTAAGTGGTTTTATAGGAAATTCCTAGCAGTATCATACACTAATAATAATAACATTAACGGTCAAACGCTGGTGAGACTATAGTTGCAAGGGAGATAATTACTATTCACTTTTCACCAAAAACGTGTTTTGGAGATAGTTAAACGTTTTAGCCCAAAAATAATCATATAATTTTTCTTTAATAATGTTGATACATTTAAATTTAAATGGTAAATACAGGTTTCGATAGAAGAAAAATAAATTTACCGAGAGTGATCAATAACGTTACCTTCGTTTCATTTCGCCAATAAATAAATCTGAAATTAACCCTTTTAAAATATCATGAATATGCTTACCCTTCCGGAGCACCTGAGATCACCCCCAGTTTTTGGTGGGGTTTGTGTTGCTTAGTCTTTAGTTTTCTATGTTGTGTCATCTGTACTATTATTTGTCTGTTTGTCTTTTTATTTTTGGCCATGACGTTGTCAGTTTGTTTTCGATCTATGAGTTTGACTGCCCCTCTGGTATCTTTCGTCCCTCTTCTATAAAATGTATTTAAATTTGTAATATATCGGTTTAAGATCATTATCAAATTATATTTTCAACAAATTATTACTGGCCTACCTCAGTACCGATCGCCGAAAAAAATATTACCTGTTGCAGGAAATGCACGTGGTATATTTATTGGTTCAAGGCCAATACTTTCATAGAGTTATCGTTCTTGAAGAACTCTTTTGTGTACCTCCTTTTGTCTCCTGACGATGCTAACAATGGTCATACGCTATAAAAATAGGTCTTCGTAAGCGGCCTCAAGCTAATTCAAGGATAATTTTGAGCTCTTACAAAAAATCGATTTAAACGTGTATAGAAGATATCAACAAACTTCTTTTTTTGACAAATCAATCTTACCAAAGTGAGGTACTGTGCAATTAATGTAATTATTTCATTGAATGTGCACTTCAGACAAAATTTCGTTGCAAAACAATAAATTCAATATGGCAACCGCAAGTATACAACAAAATGGCAGTGACATCAGTCATAACACAAACTTACCCAAGGCTTATACAGACGCCGTTAAAGCAGGTCTAATACCTAAAAACTATCTGAATGGTGAGCCTTCTGTCAATCCTGATGAAACGCTCAGTTCAGTAAAACCAGTATTTATTTTGGAAACCGACCTCTTAGGCGATGTGAGACCAAGTCAAGACCAATACCTTACTCACATCGAAAATTTACAAATCCATTAACTCCTGTATCCCAATGAGCCACCTGAAAGGTCTACAGCGTGTCAGAGGTATGTGGCGCATATACTCAGACTCTGATATTGACAGAGAAACTCTAGTCACTAACAACATTGCTGTACGTAGCAAGCTTATCAACATATACAGTAGTAACCCAAGAACAAGCGAATATTCTACACCCTTTTACTTACGTGTTCGAGTAAAAGACGTCTCTTGTTCAGCTGATGATGGTCAGATCTTAAGAGCAATTGAAAATGAAGGCAACTGTAATGTGCACAAAAATTTAAAATATTCAGAGAAAGGCTTCGTGTGGATGGGTTGCTAACAAATTGCCAAACGGGCGGCCGCATTCTTCTTTGTGACCCATTAGAAAAAACCCTACCAAGAACCATTAAAATAGGCAAATATAGAGCCATGGTCTTCCATAAAGACCAAATGCCATCATCAAATGACAACCTTATTTGCAACAAATGCTTACAAAATGGGCACAAATTTCGGGATTGTCAAAACGATTGGGTTTGCAAGATGTGTAAGTGCCCAGGTCATAAGCAGGCAGATTGTCCAGGCTTTGATGTTCACAAAGAGGAAAGTAACAACATGTCTAACGAAAACAAAAGCAAAACCTCATTTGAAAGTGAAACAGACAGTGATGGATCAAACACTGAGTCTATTGACGAACTTACAGAACACTAGAACACACGCCACCTCACAATTAACTACAACAAACACAAATCCTCAAGAAGTATCGAGTGTACTAGGAAAGGCCCTGAAGAAAATTACAAAATCAACATTTTCCTTCGAAAATAAAACCAACATATTTCGGATGAAGCGGAAACCCCAAGAAAGAATAAAAAAATCAACAAAAAAAAGAAAAAATCTGAAGAAGTTAACGGAAAAAAATCAAACAAACAGACAACGATGTTTCAATTTAGTGCAGCTACACCAGACTCTCGCAGTGAAAAGCGTCAAGCAACGACACCAACTGATAAAGTACATGAACGATCTGTCCCTATTCAAAAACCAAAAGGGCATTAACTCATTGGAAGTCAACATCAATGCAAGTTAATGTATTTTACTAAAACAAACAAATAAACAGTAGTTTTAAATCCCCCCTTTTTGTGTTGTTGTCAAAATTCCCCAATATCTTTTAAATAATCATGTGTGTATGCAAATTTATATATGTTATTTTGTCTTTTTTTGTTGTTTTTACTTATATTATAAAAAATAAACAAAAAAAACGGATATGGTATAATAGTAGATTATACATATTCCAATGAAAGAGTTAAACACAATTATAGATATACATGTCATTTATTCTTGATAATCAATGGTATTACTTTTTTAAAACGTCACGATTCACTTTATGAAAAACAAAATCCCAAACTACTAGCTAGGAGTTATCTTAAAAATTGGAACACATCTATCAAATGTTTTGTAAATGAAAACTTCAACATAAAGTTTATGTCAACAAAAAGTTATGACACATCAGTAGTTTCATATGCAAAGATATTCCGATTAGAGCAGAAAAATTCTAGCAACACATTTTCTCACTACCACAAATTAAATAATGTCATGAATCCATGGCTATCATGTCTATTAAATCCCAACAAATTTAGGTCAAACATTGCACGAATATTCCATCTTCTTGTGCAATTCTTCGTCAGTTTTCACTGGATATTCAGAAACGCACTAAAATGGTTGAGCACACAGAATAGGAAAAACCAGTTAACATGGTTAAGTTGTCATATCATTCATGGCATTATGCTTCTACTTCACATCCAAAATCACAGTCGTCACAAAACAAAATTACAATTGCTCCTATTTATGTATCATGAAACTCCAAAAAGTAAATTAGTACAAATGCACAATGCAATATCTCTGCCAAACAACAGATTTAACCTGAAAATAAAAATAAAAGTAACAATAATAAGATTGAAAAATTCTTTCAAACACAAGCAGGTTAAAAATAACAGGAAAATAAAGTATACCATATATATCGATAACTATGTATCATACAACATAATGTTCATTGTCATTGAAGTTGTTGTTATTAAACTTATGATATTATGTAATTCAGAAATTAATCTGCATACTTT